GACAATAATAATAATAATAAAAAAATTAATTGGGAAGAGATTTTTGTTGTTTTTGTAAAGCTCAAGAAGGCACTAAAACACTAATTTTTCCCCACCTTGATTTTTTGTATTTCCCCAAGTTCAACCACTCAATTATTTTTTTTTCTTTCTTGTTTTTAGATTGGACTATTAATTAATTCAATTCAAGTTTATTTGTACAGCGCTTTTTACGATACAAATAGTTGCAAAGCAAATTTACAGCAAATTAAGTTTCTAAAATATATTTAGTAGTAGCTTAAACTGTGAGGGAATATTTAGATCGGGTGGCGTCTGGTTATTTGTTAATCTAGCCACTGTGCTAAATAAAAACCTTGGATTGTTTTGGTTATTTTCTACGAGTTTGTGGATATGCTCGGCCCTGGCAGCTTTTAGAGCCTGTCTATAGCTGGACATACTGTTTTTTCACGCAACTCTAAAAACTCTCCATTTGCGCTCAAGATTACACGTTTCTTTCTTGTTGACTATTATCATCTATTTGCCTATTTTTGGCTTCTATTAACAAGGCTTATTTATAAACATTCACAAATTAAGCGGAGACGTTTCCTGTTGATTGGATTTAACTTAAAACCAGAATATTCTATTAAATATGTTGTAAACGAGACTACACTATGTTTTTGGGTGAGAAACATTATTTTAATCAGAAAATGAGTGAGGATCAGTACAGCAGGCCAAAAGGTATCACAGTGGACGCAGCTGCCGTCAGACCCAACAGTCGCTGAAACTGTTTGACAGTAAGTGACTGGCCTTCTCTCACGGCTATGAGAATTGCTTTGATATGTGCAGGAGACAACTGTGCCTGCATCGTTGTCGAATCCCACACCACGCCCAGATAAGTGGTCCTCTGTAGTGGAGAAAGCACACTTTTCTTGATGTTGAGCCGTAGCCCCAGCTCTTTCATATGGGCGAGGACGACATCTCAATGCCGAGCCGCCATCTGCTCTGACTGAGCTAATATAAACCAATCGTCGATGTAACAGAGTATGCTCATGCCCTGGAGTCGCAACGGAGCCAGAGCAGCATCCACACACTTGGTGAAAGTGCGGGGTGAGAGTGACAGGCCAATCGGAAGAACCCGATACTGGTGTGCTTCACCCCCGAAAGCAAACCTCAGGAACCTCCTGTGTTGAGGAAGGATGGATACGTGGAAGTATGCGTCCTTGAGATCTATCGTGACAAACCAGTCCTCGGACCTGATTTGAGACACGATCTGTTTGATAGTGAGCATCTTGAACCAAAACTGTTTTATAGTGCGTTTCAAAAGATGCAGATCTATGATGGGACGTAACCCTCCATCCTTCTTCGGAACGATAAAGTAATGGCTGTAGAACCCTGACTCTCTCTCGAGAGAGAGAGAGAGAGAGGAGAAACACATTGAATGGCCTCCTTCCTCAAGAGAGTCTACTTCCTGTTCCAATACCAGTGCCTGCTCGGGGCCTACTAATATAGGAATGACCCCGTTGAAGCAAGGTGGACGAGAACCGAACTGAATTCTGTAACCTCTCTCTACAGTCTGCAGGACCCATTGTGAGACATTCGGCAGAAGTTTCCACGCTGCCAGAACATCTACTAAGGGAACCAGTCTCTCGAGACTGGCGTCTGGTGTTACTAGAAGAGCCACTTCGGTACCCTGAAGCGGTTGACCGGCAGGGAAAAACCGATCTATGCTCTCTAGCGCCCTCATCTGAGGGGGCGAGCTTTCCCGTGCCGTACCGTCGCCAGGCAGCAGCTGAGAATTTTGCTCGCTGGAGCCTACTGGGCCCTGAAGCACCGAGGGTGGCAGGGGCATCAGTAAGTCTCCCCGAGGGCACTGAGGAGGATCGGGCACCGTGTGCTGAGGTGTGTAAACTGTGAGGGAATATTTAGATCGGGTGGCGTCTGGTTATTTGTTAATCTAGCCACTGTGCTAAATAAAAACCTTGGATTGTTTTGGTTATTTTCTACGAGTTTGTGGATATGCTCGGCCCTGGCAGCTTTTAGAGCCTGTCTATAGCTGGACATACTGTTTTTTCACGCAACTCTAAAAACTCTCCATTTGCGCTCAAGATTACACGTTTCTTTCTTGTTGACTATTATCATCTATTTGCCTATTTTTGGCTTCTATTAACAAGGCTTATTTAACAAATTAAGCAAATTAAGCGGAGACGTTTCCTGTTGATTGGATTTAACTTAAAACCAGAATATTCTATTGTAAACGAGATAAACGAGACTACACTATGTTTTTGGGTGAGAAACATTATTTTAATCAGAAAATGAGTGAGGATCAGTACAGCAGGCCAAAAGGTATCACAGTGGACGCAGCTGCCGTCAGACCCAACAGTCGCTGAAACTGTTTGACAGTAAGTGACTGGCCTTCTCTCACGGCTATGAGAATTGCTTTGATATGTGCAGGAGACAACTGTGCCTGCATCGTTGTCGAATCCCACACCACGCCCAGATAAGTGGTCCTCTGTAGTGGAGAAAGCACACTTTTCTTGATGTTGAGCCGTAGCCCCAGCTCTTTCATATGGGCGAGGACGACATCTCAATGCCGAGCCGCCATCTGCTCTGACTGAGCTAATATAAACCAATCGTCGATGTAACAGAGTATGCTCATGCCCTGGAGTCGCAACGGAGCCAGAGCAGCATCCACACACTTGGTGAAAGTGCGGGGTAAGAGTGCAAGGCCGAAGGGAAGAACCCGATACTGGTAAGCTTTGCCCCCAAATGCAAACCTCAGGAACCTCCTGTGTTGAGGAAGGATGGATACGTGGAAGTATGCGTCCTTGTGATCTATCGTGACAAACCAGTCCTCAGACCTGATTTGAGACACGATATGTTTGATAGTGAGCATCTTGAACCGAAACCGTTTGATAGCGCTGTTCAAAAGACGTAGATCTATGATCTGACGCAACCCTCCGTCTTCGGAACAATGAAGTAACGGCTGTAGAACCCTGACACTTTCGAGAAAGGAGGAACACGTTCTATGGCCTCCTTCCTCAAGAGAGTGTCTACTTCCTGTTCCAATACCAGAGCCTGCCCGGGGCCTACTAATGTAGGAATGATCCCGTTGAAGCGAGGTGGACGAGAACCGAACTGAATTCTGTAACCTCTCTCTACATCATGCAGCACCCATTGTGAGACATTTGGCAGAAGTTTCCACGCTGTCAGAAAGTCTACTAAAGGAACCAGTCTCTCGAGACTGGCCTCTGGTGTCGCTAGAGGAGCCACTTCGGTGCCCTGAAGCAGATGACCGGCAGGGAACGACCGACCTGACTGCTCTAGCGCCCTCACTTGAGGGGACGAGCTTTCCTGTGCCGTACCTCTCCCTGTTCGTGACGTCTCACTTCTCTATTGGACTGATTTCATACATGCTTCAGTACGTGGTCTCACTGGGGCGTTCCCAAAGGATTTCGACGCAGCTCGAGTTCCTGAAGGGGAACCAGTGTACTCACGAATCCAGGAGTAACAAGATTCCAATTGCAGAATAGTAAAATCCTTTCCTCACTCCCTGACGAGAAACGGCATCCTACGACGATGAGCTGGTCACACAGTGAACTCCTTCCTCCTCAACTGGTTAGATGTTAATTTACACAGATCTCTCCGATGATCTCTCAGTCTCTTAAAGACGATTAGCACGCATGTGACATGAACTCCAAACTACCCACACAACTGTTGATAGTTTTACACTTAATTAATAAAATTAACACGTGTATATTCTTCCAGATTTCGAACAAATTACCCGACTGTACCACAATTGCAACTACCCACACTTGCGGTCTTGGCCACTTGAGAGCGTGTGCGCGCGACAGGAAGTAAGTGCGCAAGACTGTCCCAGGTCTTAAAAATACCAGAGCGCCCCTTAACGCACACTAAACCCACACTATCTCGAATACCGCTCCGGAGCGCTATTCGAGGCTTAGTGTATCCCATCATGCATCATGTTCTGGAAATAAATCGTGAGACTTTTTGCCGAGATCTCGTGAGAGGTCACGGAAACCTTTCCAATGCAAGTTAAATATTCATATAATAATTAGATATTACATATAATTTGGTAGAAAAAAAGTGTTTTATTGGTGCAAAGATGAGTAGTGGTGATATTTATTTTGTACAACATTTGCAACTGCTTTTTATCACTTAATTAGAAGCACCACAAATTAAAATTATGTCATGTTATAGGGACTACTGAACAGACATTTAGAAGTTGATTTTAAAATGCAAAGTATTAAAGTTAAAATAAAGCTAAACACTTGCATTTTTACAACACTATAAGTGCGTCCCATCAGGTAAAGAAAAGTTCGACACACACTTGTGGTCTTCATCCTCACTTGAACACTTGGGCCAAATACAGGAAATACGTCATATAAGTGTTCAAGTGGTCAAGTGCAAAGACCGCAAGTGTGGGTATTTGGACAAGGCAATTGAGTCTTGCATTAAGTGAGGGTTGTTGGTTTTTTCTGTTACTATTGTTATTTGAGAGTGTTTTAAGTTCAGATGTGAAGTGTTCGTCAAATAATATACTATAAGTGCCATTAATCTATGCATTTTAACAACTAAAAATGTTTTTGAGCAGGTGGGTGGGCGCTTCATCCCTCTAATCATTATATGTGCCTCATGAATATTAAATCACGTTCCTAGACGCTCTAGGAAACTTGATGCAATGTCAGAACGACCCGATTAATATTTATACCGTATCTTGCGCTCGGCGTTCTGGTTGGTCGGTGTACACGTACACAGTATGGCAAGCCAAAGTATTCATAAACGCCTGGTCGTGCATCTGATTGCACAGTGACCCGTTAAAAGCGTGCGATTTGGCAGCAAACCGCGAGTCCTTGAGGTGTGATTCCCCATAAAAACGCGCGTTCTTAACGTGCGCTTTGGAGTCACGGAAAACCAGGCTTTTATGAATACTTTAGCTTGCCATAACACGGAGACAGCGGCACGCGGCGCATGCGCGGAGAGGCGCGCATTCTGTAAGCGGCGCGGGCGGTGCGGAGAGGTCTCAGATTGCGGGAGTCTGGACTTTAAAAGCGGGCGTCACCGCATCAGCATCTTCAGGCGAGAGAACAGCCGAGACGCTCGCGCTGCCGGTGCTGGTAAGTGACTGTCTCTGAGCGCATGACGTCATGCTTTCACACACACACACACACGCGCGCGCTGATTATTGATTATTCCGATTGATCTGATGCATCTTCGGTGCAGCAACTTTATAGAATTGATGATTGAATTGAGTTTGTCATGCACAGGATGCGCATTACTCACTTGACACTTCTTGCTGTCACAACAATGTCATGCAGGAATACATGCGTGTGTATGTTTAATCGTGTCAGATGATGATGATGATGAGCATTTGTTGCAGACTGTGTGTTTGTAAATTCAGATGTGCGTCATTCATCGCACCAGTGTTTTGGGAGATCAGAAGCGATCTGTCATGATCAGGAGGACAAACAACTGTGCATCCTGATGTCATGGCTGTATTTTCATCAAACATTAGGAAATATTCACTTTTATTTTAAATACTTAAATAGTTGTGTTGTTTGCGATGTTGCATTTGCAGTGTTATTGCATATTGCATTATAATCAAAGAGTTGCATGCATTATTGTAGTTTTCTACTTTACATTATGCATTAGTAGTCATTGAGTCTTGCATTTTGGCTATATCTTATTTCAAATCTTATTGCATATAGTATTGTAATCAGTTAGAATATGCAATTATTGCAATACTGTCCTATACTACAGTAAAGTTATTGAGTCTTGCATTTTTGCTGGTCTATCCTATTTCAGATTTTATAATCAAAGAGTTGCATACATTTTCCTACTGTCTTTTACAATGCAATATTGTTCTATACTAGTAGAATTACTGAGTCTTTACATTTTTTTGTTATGTCCTATTTCAGATTTTATTGCAAATGCAGGATCAGCGTTAGAATGTGCTATACTATACTTTAGTCATTGAGTCTTGCAATTCTGCTGTTATATCCTATTCCAAATTGTATTGCTTGTAGGATTATAATCAGATTTAGCATAAATTATTTTCCAAGTGTCTTATAATACATAGTGAAGCTACTGAATCTTGCATTTTTGCTGGTATATCTAATTTAAAATCTTATTGCATAAATGATTAAAATCAGTTATAAGAATATGCAATTATTGCAATGCTATACTATAGTGAAGTTAAGTCTTTAATTTTTGCTGTTGTATTTTATTTCAAATTTTATTGCATTTAGGATTATAATTAGTGTTTGCATAAATTATTTTCCAAAAGTGTTTTACAATATTATGCAATACTGTACTATACTATACTGTTGTAAACTTGCATTTTTTTTGCCAGAATTTATTTCAAATTTTATTGCATATAGGATTATAATCAAAGAGTTGTATAAATTATCCAATAGTCTTTTACTATATTAAGCAATATTATAGTTATACTATAGTTATACTGTAGTTACTGAGACTTGTATTTTTGCTGGTATATTCTATTTAATATTTTTTAATTTTATTGTGTTTTACTGTATTATGTGATATTGCACTTTACTATACTGTTATACACTTAAGGTCTTGCAGTTTTGCTGTTATAATTTATTGCATATAGGAAATATAAACTATTTGTATTGGGCAGTTTTACAGACCCGTCTCACTAATTGTAAAATCGAGTCAAAAACAGCTTAATCCTTATGATTTTCTGTAAATGTGCATTTAATATCCAGTTGCCTTCTTGAATAACTTTATATTTACGTAAATCTGAGTTAATGAACATAATAATATAATTCTGAATGCAGTATCAGTGTTGCGATCAGTCAAAACCTAATTTGGCTGATGCACAGAAAAACAGCCTCGCATGTGGAGACTGACACACACACGTGTGTGTGTGTGTGTGTGTGTGCGCGCGCGTGTGTGTGTGTGTGTGCGTGTTGCATGCGGACTGTTGTGCTGAATAATGCTGTATAATCTTCAGTGGAAATCTGCAGCAAACACATTTTCCAGCCCAGTCCGTCACAGCCGTTGATTGTGTGTGTTTGTTTGTGTGTGAGTTTGTGAGTGTGTGTGTGTGTGTGAGTGTGTGTGTGTGTGTGAGTTTGTGTGTGTGTTTGAGCACCTGGTCTGTGTGTATCTGTAGGTCTCTTCTTCCTGTCTCGCTCTGATCTGCTGCTCTAGAGCTTCCTGTAGTCTGTGATGAAGATCTTCCAGCTCTTTGATTCTCCGTTGCTGGTGTTCAGCCTCCAGATCGCGAACCGCCACCTCTGCGCGAAGATTCGCCCGCGCCTGACACACACACACACACACACACACACGC